CCTGACTGGCTTCTGAAGTTCTATGTGTTCCATCTGTGATGTCGGTCAAATCATAAGAACTTTACCATTATCAGTCGCAAAGAAGCTGCGCCACGTATTCAGACTGGCGATATTTCTAAAAAAAAATAGTTCAACTTACATTTTTCTAATCTAAATATAAAACGTCAGCGATGAAGAATAATTAGTCTCAGTTATCCGCCGAAACAGATTCCATTGGGTGTAAAGGGCAAAATAGCCATGAACGTCAAATGACTGGGTCACTCCAGGTGTTTGCGAAAAAGATTATAGCATGTAACTACACCCTGCAATCATCCATCTTGTTTCTACCGGGTTCGTCCCGAGGATTCATTTGCCTCCCTGTAACACCTGGTGTCATCCCTGATTTTCAGTGAACCATGCATATTCTTTTCCCCGCCATGTTGCCTTTTACGCCAAATGGAATCAGTTTCGTCGGATAATCAAGCTTATTCTCTGGTGTTGATGTCTTACACATAACATCTGTGCATTTGCATCGTAGATATAACCAAGTCTTATCCATTTCTTAATCACCTTACCTCACATTGTAAGAATAAAGAATGTACATGCCATAAATCAACACTGTCTTAATTGACACAGTATTAAAATGACACTTAGATATACACGTCTCAGTGATATTTATCAGTAACTTGCCATGTCTCCATCGGGGTCGGATTTTATCAAGTTCAAATTCATTCAAATTCAAAACGGCAAGCAGAATCAGTCTCGATTATCTACCGAAACAGATTCCATTAGGGGTAAAGCCAAGTAATGTGAAATATTATAACAGTACTGAAAATCAGTAATGACATCAGGTGTTCGCGAAAGAATGTATCACATCTGTGAAATGGCATCTGTGTATCACCTTCTATGACCCAAATCAGTGTAGGAGTTCTATTTCATACGATCATTCCAAACCATTTAACAAATGTACGCCCAGTTATGGCAACAATTTCCCACGATAGCAGGCAAAACGATGATTGGAGGAAGTGGGCGCCGTCACAGACATCCTGAACGTGCTGGCAATGGCGTGGGCTGACACCCTAACATCTGAATTCTTGGTAAACAACGCTCTCAGGGTTATATATATTTAAGAATATGTATTATATTCTTACTAAGTTTGGCAAGGATGTGATTTAATCCTATTGATCTGCACCTCTGTTTATGAGAATGTGTAACTTAATTAAGACTCGGGTGAAGAGAGGTTTATTATTGTCATTATCCCATACAGATGCATAAGGTTAAATAAATACTACGTCACATCGCCATGAGGTTTTCTAAAAGTAAGGTTTGTTTGAGGAGTTCATTGTGGTCCTTCTGGGTTATTGATTAATATGATTGCAAACCGTACTACTCGTGTATTGACTATGCAAATGATCACATTGTTTGTTATGTGGAGGAAACAACACAAATACTGAATGCTGACAGTTTCAGTATGACGGTTATGATAGTCACGGGCCTATGGTGACGGCCTCTGCGAGATAGTTATATTTCTACATAATTAAGATTGGGTTCAAAGCGATGTACAGCTCAGCGTACTAATGACACAAATGAATACATCTAAGAAAATAGACATGTCTGGTGACAACTACTATTGCAGATGGTAATGCATACCATGTACCCAGTGAAATTTGAATGTTGGTTTGTCCAAGAACAATATCTGAAAAATTTGTAAAGATGCTATGCCCCGTCATAGACGACTTTGGCCTCGACATACCCCCCAAAACAGCCAAAAAATACCATTTGATTGGCTATAGATAAATTATTCACGAAGAATTTTTCTCCTCTACACCTTTAACCAAATGAATGGCGCGACTTTTTTCAGTGCGGGGTATGTCAAGGCCAAGGTCGTCTATGGCGGACGTGGCATGGCAATGGGCTTATTGAGACGAACAGATGCACCTAAACTCATTATTCCATCGGGTTTATGTGTCGCGCAAAGAATGACGAAGGGCGGGCTAACAGGTGCCATATATTCAATGTGTTTTGGTGCGTGGTAATTGTGTACACGATCAAATAAACAAAAACATCGGTACGTTAGCGGTTCACATTCTGAGCAGGGACTTTGGCTCGGAATCGAAAAATCACGATATTTTGAGTTTCTAAAAACGCCAGATCCCAAAGTACGGCTACGATTGTTTTCATCTATGTCTCATTGTGTAGCTAAATGAATTGGCTTGAAATGAGTGCATAGTTTTATAGGGATATTTACACCTGACATTGTTGAATTTTGTCCTCGAACGAACTTGGTGAGTTGGCCTCGTTACATCCCTGTCCTTGTATATAGTATACTGACACTGGGTGTGACTATATATCTTGAAGCTGCTCTTTTGGCATAACAAGCCCCTGTGATCAGATCCACGCAAGGTTTGAAGGCTTTTCAGCTTAGGATGATGTATATCTTTCGCAAGTGAATGCGGTAAATAATTGTATGCCATCAATAAATATGTGGAGCGTGATCCAAGTCTGTTTATCAACAGATAAACAGAAACAACTGGTCCGTTTGAGGAGTAAACACGGGTAGGGGACATCTCAAAACAAAAACTTTGATTCATTATGATAAACTCAATAGCTTCCATAAAAAAGCAATAAGACAAGCACATTGGATCTAAGCAATATATTTTTTTCTAAATGCAAATGTGTGTCATTGGTGAGGTGACGTGAAATTTTTAAGTGTGTGTGTGTGTGTGTGTGTGTGTGTGTGTGTGTGTGTGTGTGTGTGTGTGTGTGTGTGTGTGTGTGTTCTTGTGTGTGTGTTCTTGTGTGTGTGTGTGTTCTTGTGTGTGTATGCGCTTGTACTAGTCCACATAAAATGGATGCAACCAGTATACAGACAATCTCTTTTTTGTATGACGCTATCGGTGTATTACATATATTTGGTTACATGTGCAAACAATCACTTTTCAAGTCATTGTTCTTGCACAAATCAAAATTCGAATATGACATGGAGCACGGTATTCATCAACCTCTGCAAATTAGTTTCCTACATACATTTCTATTTTTCTCTAAATACATTGCAATTCATCGATGTTATTTAATAGCAAACGGACAGTAGTTGCCATTTGTAATGATGTAATAAACATGATTGCTAAATTTTGTATTGCTACTTTCCCTTAGATAAAAGGTGAATACAGTTTTGTTAATGATAACGAAATGATAATAGTGTCTTCCCTCTCGGTTTTCATCCATGAAAATAAAGGTTTTGTTAAGTTAAATGATCTTTAAATAAATAACAGAAAGGAGCTCAGACAACGACATTATCAAACTGGCATTTAGCCTCTGAAATGAACATAGTTAAAGATGCTTCGGTGTTAAAATGTCTTAATAATATATATTAGAAAGAAGCTCAGATTGTATACATGTACTTGCTTCTGATTTATTTTTATATTTGTGTACCATGAACTCTCTGTGAGGGTAAGTGAATCACTCGAATCCAACCCTATATAACCCTTCTTCCACGGGGATTATTTAACGTGCCACAATACATGCAGATGTCCCTGTTCATGGGTTTATATTCGTAGCAGGGTAACTGGCTGTTGGTATTCCATAGTTTTACCTCAAGCCATCGTAGGGACTTTCGGTTAGAGTTTGTCGTCAGCAAACCCCGATCGCGTGGATCGGTGTTCACAATACCAGTCACTGGTTCGTCATGTCTAGACTCGATTATTTCCAGTCCACCGTTATATAGATGGAATATTGCTGTGTGTGGCGTTAAAGGAAACATATGTAGTAATCATAGTTGAATACGTTCATCCTGAATCCAGAACCCCTTTGGACCCACTGAACGTGGAATCCCAGATTCGTCCAAGTGTGGACTATTGCTTTGTTAGCCCCATATTTGTTCTTTTCCAATTCACTCAGTTTTGGTAAACGTTTTCCTCATTACTCCTCTTAAAATCTAGCTATTTGATTGGTCAATCCTGTAAATAAAGCGACAAAACCATTTCCATAGCCAATACAAATATCTACACAAAGAAAAGTCGATTGCACGATTCCGATTATATCATGTGCATGTGTTTATGAATCACTATCAAATAGTAATGATACCAGGTGTTCGCGAAAAGGTGAGCGGATCCTGCCCCACCGGTGGCACCCGTCACCAACACATCCAAAGGCAAGTCAATTGTTCACCTGAAAAAAAGGGAACATTTGGTACAAGACAAAATAGGGAATTACATCGGACATCATTTTTGTCACTGATGCGTGGAATTTGGTTATGTCATCCACGTGTCTACCATACAACTTTTTGAAAGCTTTACTGAGGCCTGGAATGTTGTAACCCTCATCCAGTTCCAGTTCCATCATTGACAAACAAGGATGTTTGGCTTCAACATGCATTTACATTCACACGTACATTATCCACTGTGACGTCATTAGACTTCACGTCAACAATGAAAGGTGTGTGTGTAATTATACAAGTGGGTCATCAGTTGCTTAGCCTTTTCAAAAGAGAAGGATAATTTGTTCTGAATGTTTATTACCTTTTAATCTTTTATATCAGCAAGCATTACATTTCCAGGGATAAATGTTTTTAGTGTCTTCATGTCTCAGGAATCATGACCCTCCTCGTGAATGACTGTCGATTTCCAATACCAAACTTTTAGTTGTAACCATTTAAAACATTCAAAGATCTGTGTTCTATAGATTTGATGGAAATATGACATGCAGTCAAATTGATTGTATCTCCGGATAACATATTCAGACTGAAGAGGATATGATGTATTTGTCAATCAAATAACGCAGGCACTTTTGTCATCATCAAACCCATTCCCTCTCAATTTGTACCATGGGAATTAGCTGCAACTCATTAAATATCCTATGGATATTTCCTCGTTTTCTGTGATGTCCTCTACCTGATATTGCAATCGTCCCACGTAGCAATCATTCCCTAGAGTTGTGCGACATATCATCTCATTCACAGTTGTCGCTGCATAATGACTTCAACAGGAAGTCGCCTTAACGACATGCGAAAATGAAACCATTATGTCTCATATCTATTAATAATTCAGAATTATTCACTCGTCTCCATTATTTGTCCAAATTGGTTTAAAACCTGCGCACGTTTTCATTCTTCCACATTGTTCCGATTGCCAGGAGATACCAACAAGCCACGTACACTGAAGGTAAGAGCTGGTTACGTTATACATATGATTCAAATTCCATTCTTTTAAAACACGATGGACCATTTGCCCAATGTTCCAAATAATGCCATTACCAAATAGTCATTACGGCCAAAACATTGCTTATTATCAGAGAGATATTTCCCCACTGGGCTTCCATCCGGTCAGACCAGTAAGTAACGGTACGTAAAGATGGATGGTCCGTGCATATCCATGCTGAGCGATGTCGCTATACAGGGCGGTAACATTTGGCTCCCAGCAGTTGTCCGATAATCAGGACGGCTATCCAGTCATCGCTGAAGCAATCAGCATCATGCCACAAGTCACCAGCATGATAACAATGCACCGGATTAAATGACCATTTATCTTGGGTGGTCATAAACTCCAAATTGACTTTGTTCGCGATTTTGAAGTACAGATGTTATTAGGTTTATGTTACTAATGTGTGAAGCGGAGGGTCGTAGTTTATGAAAGACTCATTCAAGGGTGGCCAGTGTGGTGGTCATGGTGACGATTTGGGATAATTGGCAAGATCTAAACTGTAGGAGTACTAATCAGGCATCATGTGTAATTCCAAAATTAATACCTTAATATAAATTAAATATAAAACGTCAACGGCAGAAGATAATCAGTCTCGATTATCTGCCGAAACAGATTTCACTGATTTCACTTGGCGTCTACCATAGAACATTTTTGAAAGTTTCACTGAGGCCTTGAATGTTGTAACCTTGATCAAACAACTTCTGAGCAAGAGTCGCATGACGCTCTTTGAAATCTTGGTAGAAAGAGCATGCTCGATGGTATCTCTAAAGCAGCGAAATGTAAATACCTAAGGCTGGAGCTGCTGAAATACTGCTCGGCATGAAGGGAAAGTTGACTGTTGGAAAGTTGAAGTCGTGCCTCTTGTCATACAGTCTGGTGGAGAGCGTTTTGTCACTCTGAATCTTGATGCAAAGATATAAATATGAAACAGATGAGGCGGTCTCACTGGTCTCCTTTATTTCTAGTTCAGGTGGGTGGAAGGGCATTGGCTATTTGATTGTTATTGAACGATATCAGATCATCGATATACCTGAAGCTTAAGTTAAACTTCTTGGCAAAATTACCTTGTTTTGACTTTGCCAATCCGAACAGAAATTCTGATTCATAAGCATAAAGAAACAGATCCGAATGAAGGGGAGCACAATTGGTGCCCATGGGGATGCTTATTTCTTGCCTTAATGTCTTACCCCAATTATTACGTAGATGTTATCAATGAAGAAGTCCAGCATTTCGCATATTGTTTTCTCAGTAAACTTCAGATGGCATTTGCTTTCATATTTGACAAGAAATCCCTGTTGAAAACAGAGTCCATTATACGACGGCGACAATATTATACGGGAACAAATGGTACATCATAAAACCTTTTGGAAACTTTACCAAAACCTTGAATGGTGTAGTCCTGATTCAAACAATTGTTTAAGAAGAGTCGTTTGACTCTCTTTGAAATATCAGTAGAATGCTTGAGCATGCTTGATTGTACCTCAAAAGTTGTGAAATAAAAACACCAAAAGCTAGAGCTGCTGGAATATCGCACAAGTAAAAGGGAAAGTTGACTATTGGAAACAAACAGATCAGTTCGGATGGAAACAGTATTGGTGCTCATGGTAATGCCTTTAGACTAAAGCAAAAAATCGATAGCAATGATGTGTGGCTTTGGTAGATGTCTTCCCCAGTTGACATACTGGTCTTACTTGTGGCATTATGTGATGTGTCACTTATGCCACGTTATGTGATCAAACAAATAATGTGGTTGTTACATGAAACGAATATGTGTATCAGGTCTAGTCAGTGGGACAACTACAAATGTTTCATGTAGGGCATCCAGACTTTGGATGACAGCTGTTAGAGGCAGAATAAGTTTACTCCAATTCTTTTTTTTTCTCATATTTAGGTTGTGCATTCTACCAATAACAACTACTGATTTAACCGACTGCGAAAGAGAATCAACAGGTTCATATTATATTTGACTCATTTCGACCAAATACATAATGATTTTAATGTTGTGATTACAGTTGAAAGAAGGCTGTTCACGATATTGTGAGTAATATTTGAATAACTGGCGAAGGTTGTTGTCTACATTAGAGAAGTTACCGGTGGCCTTTATGCCCAAGAGATTGGTGGCAGTATGATTAACCTTGGCAGCCACAAGTAGTTGAGTTTACATCCACGTTGTGCAAAACGTTCCTATGATTCAACTTCGAGTATAAGGTGTTTGTATTGGAACATGTTGTTTGTCTCTGAAATATTGGGAGACAATTGGGGAAACAGTCGGTATTTTTTTTCAGTAGAGTAATCTGTAGTTATGACAAACGTTTCAAAGCAATATCAAAAGCGATAAGCAAGTCCATACTTACCGTCGTTTGTGGACCCATTGTTTAGCAAAAGTTAGTGAAGTCGTTTGATTTCATTCAACGACAGAGAGTATCGTGATGTTTGTACCTTGTTCAGTCCCAGTGTTTATAGAAGCAAGGGCAACACCTCTTCCAAAGCAACATCTTTTAGCCTTCGTTCTGTCATGTGACCATGACTGCGTAGACGTCTTACAACATTGTCGTTGGCAACGATTAGAACGACTGCCAACGGTTCTGTTTTGTTTTGTTAGTACACATCCTATAAGCCAATCTGCATACAATGCTAATAGATGAAGGGTATATTTTCGCTAATGTATTTACTTTCATACAACGGACTGAGTGAGAATTGAAATGTTGGTATACACAATTGGAAATATTTTCTGTTGGTGATAGATCTGAGCTGGTTGACTGGTGTTCATTTTAAAATATATTACAACCGACAGAGAATAAGGTAACTGATGAATTAATCGTGAAGAAGTAATGACGATAAATGTCTGTAAAATTATTTTCGAGCGTGGAGATCAATATCTGGTGTGTCCACCATTTTTGTCGACATATTGACGACACATTGATGGCATATTAGTGATAAGTGAGTAAGTATGGTTTTACGCCGCTTTTAGCAATATTCAAGCAATATCACGGCGGGGGACACCAGAAATGGGCTTCATACATTGTACCCATGTCGGGAATCGAACCCGGGTCATCGGCGTGACGAGCGAACGCTTTAACCACTAGGCTTATTAGTGATTAACATGCGTATGGTTGCCCATTCTGCCTGCTGGGCTACGTTGGTGGGTACTGGGTTTCTGGCGTACAATCTCCTCCCGAGAACATCTCACGGTTGCCCTTTTGGCGAGATGTCAGGGGATTTAGCGGGCCAGACCAATGCAATATGCCTTCTCGTCAGAAATAATAGCTGACGACTTGGGCACGATGTAGTCTGGTATTGTCATCTAGCAATTCCAAAAGACTGCCGATGTTATTAGGAAATGGAACAAGGACCTGACGCAGTATTTCGTCATCATATCTCTGGCCAGTCAAATATCCATTCATAATCAAATCATTCGCCTGTCATGTGTGATACCGCACCCATGATCAAGAATTGTTGTCCTGGCTTACCGCTCACCACTACGTCGCTAACAACGTTTTCTGCCATCTGTGAATCGGAGGCAAAACCTTGATTCGTCTGTCAACATGCTGTAAAGCCATCGGCGCACAGTCCGTTCCTGGTGTTGTCGTCTATGCTAAGCTGTCGGGGTCAAACCCTCCACAGGACGCCTTGCTTTCAGGCGGGCTGCATAAAGCCGGTTCTTAACGGCAACTGTTGATGTTCGCCGATCTGTTTTTGTACGGAATTCTCTATTGATAACAGGAGTAGATTTGAATCCGTTGCGTAGTGCAATTAATGTGATGAGACGATCCTGTGTAGGTGTCGTTTTTTAGGACTGCCTCGTTCATTGCAACCCCATAAATTAAATCGATAAACTACACTGTTTGGTATGTTCATTGAGATACTGTCTCGGAAGCATTTAAGCGTATGCTTAGATCAGTTGCGTCAGTGAGTGTTCCGTTATGGGCGCGCACACTTTGGCTTCACCCCGGTATTGTAAATGTACATGAACGACAGCTACATTCATAACATTCGTTCTCTTATTCTTTGTCTGAGGTTATAAGACCTGTTGAATCTCTCCAACGTAAATCAATACACAAAGTGTACATTCAATGTCTTAAATGACGTTTTTAGTTTGACATAACAGATCTTTGAAAGGTTTTGTGCAGTATCTTTTTTGCTGTAACGTTAGACTTGAAATCAGGATCAATTATCAGAATTTGACAAGTTTTGCACTATTTTGTGCCACATGAAAAATACTCCATGGAGACGGTATAGAAATAACAATTTCCTCCAACTTTAATTTAAGCATATTTTGGTGATGTTAGAAAATGGACTTCATTTTTAATAGTAGTTGCCTTCATGTTGCCTTAATATTTAAGGTAGATAGAGTTCATTATATCCCGAGAACGGATCCGTGGTCTACTGGACAGGGCGCCTGTCCTGAGAGCGGAAAGTCGGTAGTTAGATCCATTTGCCGCATCATAACTGATGCATGGCGATCGCCATTAAGGGCATACGACAAGAGTTGGTCGGTTCGGAGTCAGTATGAGTGCGGAGTGTCCTTTTAAAAGTGCGGCATGGTATCTCAGTGGAAGAGCACTATAAAACCAGCATGCACGTCGCTATATGCAAGTGCGATAATCTTGGACGCGACGTTGAACCCCATTTCACCTCTCCTCACATGATATCCCGTAGGACAGCATTTGGTTTGCGGGCATCGCTTTTGAACATAATTGGACCAATTCAATGTGTGGAGTAGTGTCACTTAGCTTTCCAGAATCCGATGATCAGGATTCTCTCGCATTATGATCCTTGGTCCTACAGAAAGTTCACAAAGGTGGTAATCGTCCTCGGCTTGTGACCAGCTTTCCTGGCTCTCACTGCCCACAGCTGGTCACGCTAAGCAGACCTTCATACGCCGATTGGACATCTTTGTGATATAATGATTTTTACTAAACCAGAGCGCTACCATGCAGGAAAGGTGCCGTGCATGCAATGAACGTCGTCGGTAATAAATAAAGTTTTTTTCACAATTTCTCTGAAATAACTGTTCCATGTCGTGTCAATTTGACGAAAGACATGATGCCAAAGGATCGTCTAAATGAGGAAGTTAGTTCGCGAAAGAAAATGATAGACGGAAAATACATATAGGTTTCAATGAAGGCAAATGTCAGGAATATGACATAAACCAGTTAACATAATGATTGGACATACTTACACCAGTCAAATATCTGAGGCAGAACTGAATTGCTGTACAGTTTTAATCATAGCTATGCAGAACCTTTTGGACTACTGAAGTTGATAGATAAATACTATGATTGTCACCATTATTGATCGTGGATCGATACTCACAATCATTATCAAGCTCTTTCTTGACTGCATATATACAGACACCCGTCATATAGCTGGAATATTGTGAACATGCAATGCCACTTTAGAAAGTGGTCAAATGTAACACATGTGATATTTAGGATAACTCTTTTTTAATTAAGTACAGATTCTCGTACTTTTGGGGGGTGATCCTGGCTGTCAGGCTGGTTAGGCTCATCATCAGCTCAAGGTCCTTGCCCCCTCTGCACGCAGCACAGAAAGCGAATGGGACTTCTCCCAGGAAACGAAGTCTAATCGAACCCACCCAGAACATTTGAGAGAATGTGAAGACTCCCCAAAACAGCAGTATTTTGCATTACCCAGAATGTCAGAAGGGCTGTATTACTGGCAGCAAACCCGGGTACTCTCCCAGTGTCAGTCAACAGATTGGGAGGTACAAAACCTAAGGCAATGAGGAGTCTGACAACTTGATACTTGGGATGCATGCGTGACATTTCGAAAGCGTGGTCTGCACATTTCCATGTTTTGCCTGAATCTAGTCAATCACATTAGTGTCAAAAGGGGCAGAAAATTCAATGATATAAATGAATTTATTGTTCTTGTCAAATTGGGCATGGTCATGTGTGTTGACTTTGATAGGTCTGAGGCTGTATACGGGACTATTGCAAAGAATTGTATTTATCATTTTCAATGACACCCTCTACATATTGTGGATCGTACATGGATGGGCCTATGTGTCCAAACCACAAACAAGCATGGCAAAGACGGTAATAAAAGGATCGAGCCACTCCATCATGTCGCTTAAGATACTGTGTTTGTGCCAAAGATGGGCATTCACTGACAATGTGTTGGACAGTACAATTAAACTCATTGCATCATCTACATTTCATATATACATTTTGATGCAAAATCACACATTGACGGTTTTGAGTTGGAAGTGACTCGTCCTGAGCAGCTTCGTTGCTGAGCAGTTTGTTGTCCAATATAATGTACGTTAAAAGCGTAAAAAATATTACAACCTCTACATCCGGTTATATTCTTGGTCTTCAGTAGTAACTCGTATCACCTCATTGTCGACCGAATTTTTCAACAATTTTCAAAAAATAATTAATACTCATCCAAAATGGATTTCTGATGGTTTTTTATTATCGCAGATTTTATAATAGCTGTTGTCATTCAGTTAAGCTGCTGCAAACTACAAATGGCAAAGTGTGAAATATGAAGATTTATGTATTGATGCATCGTTGATTGCTCTCGTGGCCCGTTATAGTCTTCGCATAAGTGATTCCTGGCTTTTTGAATAACACCAATCACTTAACATTGTTTGCTTAGTGGAGCGAATATAAATTGGGTTCATCCTTGTATTGGGTATTGAAAGGTGGTCATGGAGATTAAACAGCGTGGCACGAGGTGTATACTACAGGGTATTCACGTTTGTATTTCATATAACTTTTAAACGTTTGTGCACTGAAAGCTAATACATTTTAAATATTTGATTACCTTATTGGGTCGGATCGCTTTTAAAACATGTTAATATTGATTACAGCATAAGTGCCAGCAGATGTTTGTTCTAATATAAAAGGTGGAAATGACAAAATTATGAACGACATATTTTACAATACAGTAAACTACGGTTATAACGAACTGAAAGGGACCACTAAATTTAGTTCGTTATAACCGTAGTTCGTTATAAGCATATACACAGCATATATACAGCAAATGACCGGGACTAAAAATAAGTTCGTTATATCCGTCAATTCGTTATAAGCATGTTGGTTATAAACGTAGTTTACTGTATATTGTACATGTTAACTGACAGTGACGTGAATGTGTTTGTCTGTCTGAACGTATGTATGTAATTGGATGAATCATTAGATAGTATAATGGAATGTCTGTCTGTGTGTATAAATGCGTGTGTCATCCTGTGTGTCTGTATGTGTGTAATTGGACGAGTCATTGTATTGTAGCACCGTCATAATTGAATGTATGTGTCTGTGTGTGTGTCTCAATGTCTCTGTGTCTGTGTGCGTGATTGGATGAATCACTGTATACCTTGTATAGCATAGTGGAATGTCTGTCTGTCTGTCTGTATGTCTGTGTGTGTGTCTCTCTCTCTCTCTGTCTCTCTCTGTCTCTCTCTCTCTCTCTCTCTCTCTCTCAGTATGAGATGTAATATCTGGAACTACTTAAATTTAACATATGTATTTTGGGCTTCATTTAGCTTCTTGGGTCCAATTGAACATACGCTTTCTACAACAATTTCAAAGGGCGTCATACGAATCTTGCTGAAACGTTGCTTGATCAGGGTTGCAATATCCCAATACTAGAGTAAATCTTTCAAAGGGTTTTATGTGGAATACAATTTCCAAATTTGAAGCATCAGTGACCCAAACTATGTCTGATGAAATTCTCTAATTTGACAATTTGTTCCCGTGTTTATTCAGGGGAACACTTTGACCTGCCTTTGCATGTTAAACCCCATTTTTCACCAGCTTATGTGAAATGCAGTGTAACATATTTTACAGGCGGTTCTTATGTTTCAGACCCGACGATGCAGTTAACTCTAGTTTTAGGCTGCCTTGCGCTGGTCATCACGATGGGGGTTCAACGAGCATGTGGTGCCTTCAAATCAGGGAGTGCATATAGGCAAAACTGGGGGTTCAAAAGGTCAGGGGGGAACATCGCTAATGACCTCTTCAAGCAGCGACCTGATTGGCTGTCCGCTATGCTACTCACCCCTTCTGATCTGGGTCAAAGGTAAGAAGTATTTGCTGCTAACAAGTTTAAACTTGAAAACCTCACCTTGTTGTAGAGGGAAGGTGGAAAGGATTAACAACCTGAAACTTCAACGCCAGGCTTTGCTGTAGGACATATATATAGAATACTAAACGAGCTCCCGTGTAATACATTTTTTTTTAAACGAGTTAATAGTTGTGGTATCTGACGAGCGAAAGCTTTAACAGACTAACGTCTGTCGTTGCGCTACAATACGATCGCCTTGTGGAACGGGCCTTGCACCTCAAAGTTTACAATAACGTCACAATACCCGATGACGTAATTTGTGGAATTTTGTTGCAAGATTCATCGGCGAATCAATGCCATGGGACGTCAGCCTAGCAACAAGGTTGCATAAGCTCCTCTCAGTGATCTATCAACTCCACACGCAATGTCGTTGAATAAGCCAAGCGATGTTGAGAGCTTTCAATATTTGTTCGTGAAACGTGTTCCGAGAGTACAAAAGCACGCGTTTTGGTATTACACAATGTGTAATACAGCTGTATGTTTATTAAACGGGTGATCTCTTCACGGGCAAGTAATAAATAGAAGGGCTAACATGCTGAAATTTCAAAACCTCATTTCTAAAGTAGATATGCTTGCGAATGTAACCAGATGAATTGGAATCTTTGGAAACATTGTGTGTTTACATTGTGCCAACACCATTCCAAACGTAAGCAAATGGACGTTCTTGTGTAATGTCACCTTATAGAGAAGGGGGATATAGAAGATGTTGCTTAAGGGGAAGGGATCGAATAAGCTGAAACTTTATTTACCCCGCCCCTTTTGTAGAGAAGGTAGAGGGGCTACGAACCTGGAGGGGAGGGAGATAGAAGAGGGTTGTTTTAGGGAAGGAAAATAGAAGGGCTCAACAACTTCAAACTTTATTTACCCCGCCCCTTTTGTAGGGAAGGTAGAGGGGCTACGAACCTGGAGGGGAGGGAGATAGAAGAGGGTTGTTTTAGGGAAGGAAAATAGAAGGGCTCAACAACTTCAAACTTTATTTACCCCGCCCCTTTTGTAGGGAAGGTAGAGGGGGTAAGAGCCTGAAGGGGAGGGAGATAGAAGAGGGTTGTTTTAGGGAAGGAAAATAGAAGGATCTAACAACTTGAAACTTTAATGACCCCCCCCCCTTTTGTAGAAAAGGTCAGATGGGTTAAAAACCTCTAGGGGAGGAAGATATATGGGCACTAACAAGCTGCAATTTATAAAGCCTCACCTTGTAAGAGATGGCAGGTGGTTGTTGGCTTGACCTGTAAGTATATATTACTTTATTTATGGAAGTGAGCGTTGTTTGGGATTTTATTTTTTTATAACTTTGTGAAATTTGGTCAATATATTCAAGACATGCATGTACATGTAATGCATAATTGTGTGTACATGGTAGAATCAAGTGTTTTCACGTGTCTAAATTATCGGCGGGAATTACAGAAGTAAATCATTAACATCAAACGTAAGTGATATGTTGGCTGCATGTCACTAATATATTACCCTCTCTCTTTCCAGTGCATCAATTCCAATACCTGTTAGAGAAATGGTACTCCAACTTACACAGGATCCAGAACTAGCATCTTACTTGGTCAGGGAATTTGTGGACCAAAACGGTTTGTGCTTTCAATTTATAACAAGTAATGCTCAAACAGTCCACAACTATTTTACTTGTAAATGTGAAACGTTAAGTGTAATTAACGTTGAACTTCAGATATTTACTTGACAATCGTTAATTGACAAAAAACATACGTTGTACGTCATACATAAGTGGAATGAGTGAGTTTGGTTTAACGCCGCTTTGAAAACAATTCCTGTTATGTATCCCGTCGCATCAGTTTAATGTGGGAGGAAAGCCTGAAGTTTACCAGACATTTACTATTTTGGTGAACCACACGAGGACGGGTATAGTGCTGACAAACCAAGAGACATAATCTGGGCGAACCGGGATTCGGACCCGCAATTATAGGCGCCTGGCGTGCCTAACACAACACTGCATAAGTTGATTACACTCATGCTCTTTTGTATGAGGCGACTTTCGGTTGTGTTAGATATCATGATATTGTCTATAAAGAACAAATACATAAAGTACTATTAAGATTAATAATTAATAATGTTAATTAAGATTAATTAAGATTAATTAATGTATTAAGATGTCGTAGTCTGTCTGTCTGTGTGTCTGTTGTTGTGTCAGCAATATTCCAGCCATATGACGGCGGTCTGTAAATAGTCGAGTCTGGACCAGACAATCCAGTGATTGACATCATGCGCATCGATCTACACGATTGGGATACGATGACATGCATCAACCAAGTCAGCGAGCCTGACCACCCAATCCCGTTAGTCGCCTCTTACGACCAGCTGAAGAACAATAAATTTCTAACCCGGATCTTCAAGGGACGATGTCGTAGTGCTCTAGTTTTAACCAGTTTTGTTCATTTTAAAACCAAGGATTAAACATTTTCCGAAATTTATTAACTTAATCATATTTTTAGAAATTAGAAATAATATTTTCCTTCGAGTCTAGAGTTGATTTATGTGGATCAGTCACCTGGCAAATGTCATATGAACACACAAAAAACACGAACACGAAATATAATCACAAATGTCTTTAATTGTTCTGAGCGTTATTCAATGTTCAGAGATGATAAAAACTTATGTATGCAACAGGATGTCTCGTTTTTTCTTAAGGTGATGGTTTCATAAACGAAGCGGAGTTCTTAAGAAGGATGAAGTAGACGGTTCCAGATGTGCCTTATACGATTAACCGTTTCGCATACGAAGCACTTGACTGTATGTCTGCATGAATGAGCCCGCTTCAGCAACATTAGTTTGAATTTAAATCGATTAAAACTGAATGTATGTCTGTATCAATGACACATACTAGTGTTTCTTCTAACTGTGATTTTACCTCACTCCGTCTACTGATATGAACTGTAAGCACACACACCACAGTATGTGTGAACGTTTTTCGAAAGCTGGAAAATAAACTGTCGTGTCTGCAATTTGTCACACATACTTGTGGTGGCAGGGTGGTAGTTGTTGCTCTAATAACGGTGTTCAGGTTATGACATACCATCTGCAGCAAAACAATGCCTTAGATGATCACATTCTATTGTCATCAATATATTTATATATATATACCATATGTTAGTTCTCATGAAAATGTTTTGTTTTCCTTTTTGAAAAAATAAAATGAAATGTATACAGCCAAATCTCATTTGTACTCCATTAATTTCTAACAGTGATTTACTTAATTCTCTGAGGAACCAAGAACACTTTGTAAACTAAAAAAGCGAAATGGCGGTTTACAGTCTTGTTCCAAGAAATGAAAGATTGATCTCTGCAAGTATTGTTCCAATCTATTCAGGTTGTACCTTTCTAATGTTCTTTTGCATATCCAACTCGTGTTTCAAATCAATGTAACTTGGACCTCTCCAAATCTTTTTTCAAATCAATGTAACTTGGACCTCTCCAACTCGTGTTTCAAATCAATGTAACTCGGACCTCTCCAAGTCTTTTTTAAAATCAGTGTACCTTGGACCTCTCCAAATCTTTTTTCAAATCAATGTAACTTTGACCTCTCCAACTCGTGTTTCAAATCAGTGTAACTCGGACCTTTCCAAGTCTTATTTCAAATCAGTGTAACTTGGACCTCTCCAAATCTTTTTTCAAATCAATGTAACTTGGACCTCTCCAACTCGTGTTTCAAATCAGTGTAACTTGGACCTCACCAAGTCTTATTTCAAATCAATGTAACTTGGACCTCTCCAAATCTTTTTTCAAATCAATGTAACTTGGACCTCACCAAGTCTTATTTCAAATCAGTGTAACTTGGAACTCTCCAAGTCGTATTTCAAATCAATGTAACTTGGACCTCTCCAACTCGTGTTTCAAATCAATGTAACTTGGACCTCTCCAACTCGTGTTTCAAATCAATGTAACTTGGACCTCTCCAAGTCGTATTTCAAATCAATGTAAGTTGGACCTCTCCAACTCGTGTTTCAAATCAATGTAACTTGGACCTCTCCAACTCGTGTTTCAAATCAGCGTAACTTGGACCTCTCCAACTCGTGTTTCAAATCAATGTAACTTGGACCTCTCCAAGTCGTATTTCAAATCAATGTAACTCGGACCTCTGCAACTCGTGTTTCAAATCTGTGTAACTTGGACCTCTCCAACTCGTGTTTCAAATCAATATAACTTGGACCCATCCAAGTCGTGTTTCAAATCAGTGTAACTTGGACCTCTCCAACTCGTGTTTCAAATCAATGTAACTTGGACCTCTCCAAGTCTTATTTCAAATCAATGTAACTTGGACCTCTCCAAGTCTTATTTCAAATCAATGTAAGTTGGACCTCTTCAGGTCGTATTCCAATGCTTTTGGTTGTTACTGTCCGGATAAATTCATGTCTGTCACAGTTAGTAAATTGTGTACAGTTTCCACATTTTTTTCTACACGTTAGACAATATATACAGGAGAGTGAAATAAGAAAATATTCCAATGTAAGGGTAGAAAAACAAATAAATTTAAATCGTCGTATTTGCCAACAAGGCTTTACATAAAGTACCATGGCCGTCCGATATTCATTGTGGAAGAAACTGCCTCTGTGGTCGAGCGGAAGGTCGGTTGTTCGATCCTCTAGCTGTGTCATACCAAATGACGTTTATAAATAGTACTTGTTGCTACCATGTCAAGTGTTCGGCATTTAGGAGATAAAACAAGGATTGGTCTCTCGGTCTGATATTATCTCTCTGGGATAACCATGTTAAAGTGCGGCATGGCATGAAGGCGACTTGAAATAGATTCAACTTCAAACACTAAGTTAAAAGGCCCAAAGTAAGACGTGTTTGATTTCACAAGTCCTTTGATAACATTTTCTTATCGCTTAGCCTCATCAGGCACACTGGCAATGTAAACTAAGCGGCAAAAGAAAGTATAGGTTGGCAATTTGTAATTTTCCTAAAAACAGCGATAACTAGTGGAAAGTGGGTATTGGGAATATGACTGCCCAGGAACAGGTACCAAAAAAACATCTCACCCGAACGCGCCATCTTTGACGGCGCTCGTGCGGTGACAAAAAAAAATGGTGAAACAGGTTTCCCGCCTATGGCATAAACTGCACGTGCATGTTAGCTGTATAAATGCGTTCGTCTGCAGGGTATAACCACACGTGATGAAAGCACACAAAAGAAATGCCACGACTGTCACAGGAGCAGAGAGAGAGAGCCATCGGTATGGCCGAAATGGGGGCAACACAGGTCCAAATTGCCAGAAGGTTTGGTTGTACACCATTGACAGTAGCCGGGCTGATTCAACGGTACAGGCAGACAGGGAGGACACAGGACAGGCCTAGAACCGGACGACCCCGAGTGACAACACCACTGGAAGACGGTCAGATACGGCTCATTCACCTGCGAAGCAGATTCGTAACGGCGAGGGCGACGGCGACGGCAGCAACAGCGTTGGGACATCCCATTAGCCAACGTACAATACTACGACGACTTCGTGCTGCTGGAATCCGAGCGTATCGTCCTTTCCGAGGAATGGCACTGACTGCTCAACATCGACGCCTGAGACTGCGATGGGCGAGGCAAGTGAGAAATTCGCGTCGAGTGTTGTTTACTGATGAAAGTCGGTTTAACTTGTTTCGAAATGACGGCAGAGAACGAGTTTATCGACGCAGAGGGGAACGTTTGGCTCCGGCGTGTATTCGAGAGGTCCATCCATTCGGCGGGGAGGTGTCATGGTGTGGGGCGGTATTTGTGGAGATCAGAAGACTGATTTGGTGATTATACAGGGAAACCTGAACGCTGTGCAGACCAAGCAGCTAGTTGTGCTTCCGTTCTTACAAAATCAACAGCAGGGGACATTGTTTCAACACGACAATGCCAGGCCCCATACTGCAAGACTGACTCGGAACTTTCTAAACCAGAAGAACGTTGACGTTTTGTCCTGGCCTGCCCACTCACCCGATATGAATCCTATTGAACATCTGTGGGACCCTCTTGACAGACAGATTAGAGCATACCATCAGCCTCCCGTCAACAGACAAGAATTGCAGCAGGCCCTCAGAGACGAGTGGCAACGGATTCCAGTCCACGTCATCAGAAGACTGACGTCATCGATGAGGCGGCGTATCAGAGCATGCATTGGGGCAGCTGGAGGTCATACACGCTATTGAAGGCAACTGTGTCGACAATGAACTTGCAGTGTGTCTGACAATTTTTTGGTGACATTTCAGATAACTTTTGAAAATGAAATTTCTTACCCCACCATTGTTTACCTTGAGCTTACATTACCTGTGATTGCACAATTTCATTCAAAATGTGGTTGATCAATCATGTGTTACCCCTCCCTAGATTATATTATAATTCACAACAAAACCTCTTCTTGTTATTTTTTTATCGATCATGGAACTCGACCTATACTTACTTTTGCCGCCCAGTTTATTTCAATGTCTACGCTTTAAGGGTTATTGCATTACTTTCTCGGTTAAAAAGGGTATACGGGTTGACATTTTTTGTAGTTATCCATTCATATCATTTTCACCGCTAGTTTTCTTTTTACGCCGAATGTAATCTGTTTGGTCGGATAATCGAGACAGGTTATTCTCTGACGTTGATGTTTTATATTTTATATACCTAGTAACACAGTAATTGTACAACCATACAAAAAAAAACTAGAGACAACGAACAGAAACATTATACATTTATACGTTAATCTAAACAGTTTATAGTTGAGAAAGGAAAGTATCGGCTCCATCGCGACATTTCAACAGAACCTAATCTGAAAACTAAAGTCGTATTTCTCTCATATTTCTAATCTTTGTTGTTGTTTTCTTGTTTTGGTCCCTTTGTAACGATACTCCTTGCTGGCTTAACGGCTGTGATCTGTATCACTGCTCTCGGTGATCATATTCAGGTTATAAATAATGGTTGTTCAAAAACTTCAGTGAACACACTTCAAAATAAGAACTTCATTTATTAATTGAACTTAAAGTTTAACTTCACTTTCAAGATTGCATCAATTATTTAACGACGTGTCTGTCTGTGTGTGTATATATCTGTGTGTGTGTGTGTGACTCCGAATAGTCCTTGTTTTCTCTTGCGCAAGGCAGGGTAACAACAAGTACTATCTTTTAAAGTCTTTTGGTATGACGCGGCCAGGGGCCGAAACACCGACCTTCCGATCCCCGGGCAAGTGCTCTATCCACTAAACTACTGGGGTGGTCGTAATTATAGACATTACAGTGCAACTTTAAATTAAGATCGGGATCGGGTGGTCAGACTCGCCGACTTGGTTGATGCATGTCATCGATCACAATTGCGTGGACGTTTCTAATGATGTCAGTCACTGGATTGACTGGTCCAGACTTGATTATTTACAGACCGCCGTCATATAGCTGGAATATTGCTGAGTGCGGCGTTAAATAAGTTTAACAAACAAACATACAATGACCATATATTTTGAGCGGGAACCATGACTCAACTCTGGGATATGGTGAAATCTTAGGGGCTGTTATAAACGGTATTTCAAGATAGATTTAGGTATGAGAAGATAAGGACAAGTGTGTAAATATAGATTTAGGAACGTGACAATACGGATTAGTATGGAAAAAGCACGGGAAGATATGGATGGGTATGGAAATTTAGATTTCGCTACAGAAGGAAACGGCAGATAAAGGAAACATTAGTAGAACAACTAATTCTTTGAGCCAGAATTGAGTGCACAAAGACTATTTATTATTTCATAACCCTTATATGCTTAGGTAAGCTGTTCAAAAGTATGTGTATTGAATGAATGGTCTGCAAACCAATACTTCTATCAGAACAGGCGAAAAAACTTTTCAATACAGATGAAACAGTATACAAAATGTAACATTATAACGTACTGGCGTTGTGTATGGTAACTTTGACAATTATCTTGTTTCAAATTCAAAAGCTGCAGACCGTCATGAGAACATTAGTACTGCTGTTTATCCTTCCATAAAAGTGGACACCATTACCGACTGAAATAAGATGCGTAAAAAGGCGTTTTTCTTGTAAAACAATAGAGTGAAAACAGCGTTCATCTTTATAACACCTGGACACCGGTCTCATCTGTGACTACACCTGTAGAATTGCTGGAGAAATGGATAGGGTTCCTATGACACCTCTATCACATTACAATCGGATTCATAGTTCAACAACTATATCGATTGATTAGTTTAAT